ATTTTCTGAAGAAGGGTCTAGGCCCGAAACGTCAGACTTCCTGCTCCTCTGATGCTGCTTGGCCTGCTGTGTTCATCCAGCTCTACACTTGGTTATCTCAGATTCCAGGAGCAGCACAGGTCAGAAACTGCAAACAATGTAATTCTCATTCCTGAATTTAAAATCCCTTGGAATGTAGCTTCTGACTCGAAGCACATTAGGAAATAACCCTTAAAATGTAAGATGCCTGTGGAAGAAATATACATTTACTACATTTTAAAAGTGAATAGATTCCAGTTAGCTAGAAAGAGAAATTAGGAGAGATATCTGTTCAATCTCAAACTAGTTTTCATCTCTATATGGAGAAATTGTAATATTTAGCATCTTTTGGATGTGAGGATGTTGTAAAGTACTTCACAGCCAATTTGTGCACAGGATTCTACGAACAGTAATTAAATAGTAACAAAAAAATTCTAATACAGTGGACTTGAGGTGTAAAAGTTTCCCCAGGATACCAGGATCAGTCCTCCTTCAAAAGATAGACCTCAGACAGTGAAGAACTCCCTTAGAAATACAGTGAAGTTAGATTCAAGAAATGGAAGACAAAGTCATCTACATAAAAACAAGCCACAATCTAAAGTTACAACACTATTTTCTGCTTAATAATTGGTCCCATAAAATTATAATGTGTGTTACCAGAACAGCCAGGCACTCCGGCAAATACAAAGCTAAACATAGTCATACTGCCAGAGGCAAGGGAGAATTTCAGACTTTATGCAGTGCCTGAAAGTACTATCCAGATCAGCATTTCTCAATTTTCTTACTTAAGTAAATTTTGTTTGGCTACTAAGAGGCAGAAGTGATTAACACTGCCAGCTCTCCCTAGATTCCCTTGGTTAAGGTACAGAATTGGTATGCGCCACACCCAACATTCATTACATTGTGGCACATACCAATTCTGTATTTTAACCAAGGGACTCTAGGGAGAGCTGGCAGTGTTAATCACTTCTGCCTGAGCAAGAAATTATGGGTTTAAGTTACAATGGAGAGACTTCAGTGCAGTAATGGAGTGCTGCATTGATGGAGGTGCCAACTTTCAGACAACATGTTAAACAAGATGCACTTAGATAAAATGGACACCTAATTGCCTGCAAAAAACAGCAAGTAGGGAACATGAGTATAGGACAGTATTTCACAGTAATAGAGATTGGAAGGTGGGGTTCTACAAGGACCACTGCTGGGACCATTGTTGTCATAGTGTTACAAATACAAAAACAAGGTTGTGTTTTGGGACTGTGTCTTTAAGACAAACTGGAGGAATGAACCCATTTTGAATGATGCCCAACAAGATGCCTGGGTGGCCTTGTTGTTAAAGGTTAAAGGTGCTCAAACCTGTAGATGACAGTAGACCAGTTATACTGACTTAAATTTCCAAGACTCATAGGGAGATGTTACAAGTGTCAGGTTTGAAATGATTTTTAAAATCCATTTCAATTCCATAAAATAGTGTTGGTGGTTTAGAGGAACACTAATTAGCATTGAGGTTATTGACTTGCTCGTCAAGCTGGCTTGTTTTTGTTCAGACATTTCGTCACTGTGCTAGGTGACATTAGTGGAGCCTCCGATGAAGTGATGTTATTCTACTCCACTTGGAATTTATACTGTCTGGTCCGTTATAGTGAGTACTGTCATTTCCGGTTTTGATCTGTATTGGTTTGTATAAGGGGTCTAATTCTATATGTTTGTTGATTGAAGTATGGGTGGAGAACCATGCCTCTAGGAATTCCTGTGCATTTGGCTTGCGCTACTATGGTTACTTTGTCCCAGTTAAACTGATGGCCTTCATTGAGAGAGTGTACAAATATTAAGGAAAGTTTGTCGTGCCGTTTTGCTGCCAGCTGATGTTCATGTATTCTGGATTAGAAATTACCCAGGTAGGAAAGGAAAGAAAAACAGCATGGATCTTGGGAGCCAAGAATAACTTGAGATTGGTTCATGGAGATTGAACTGTTCTACTTAAAAGGCATTGTATCATCTGTGGCATAAGGGTTTTTGTCATCTGAAAAGTTGACTGGGGGATCTTTTCTGTAGTTCAGATTATAAAGAACAAAATAGAATGAACGCTTTTAATTCATTTGTTGCAGTAAAAGTCTTAGAAGTCGATTTCATATGACCCTTCCAGTCAGTTATTAGAAATTTAAAATTGCTTTCTAAGAGGTTATGACCTCTTTTGTGATTGCAAGAGAAATTTATGAATACTTTAGGTCTTGGAATCAAACATAATATAGAGGAGGACTGCAATAAAGAAATACAAGATAATATTAAATTTTCAGAAGTGACAGTTGGCAAAAAGTCAGTTTTAAACACCGGTAACTATTACACTTAAGAGAAAGTAATGAAATGACATTACTTTGAACAAAATACAAATACGTTAGAAAATCAAACATTTTGGAGTACAAAACACTAAATAGTAAGGCCATTAGAAAAGCAAGCCAAGCACAGGAGTTTATTTCTAGATTGATAAAGATGATGTTTTGTTAAACTTGAATTTGAATTTTTGTTAGACCATATTTAGGAGTAGTTACCATGTTATAAACTAGGTATAAAGACATTGGAGAGGGTGCAAAAAAATTTCAAAGATAATAGAAATGTAGGGGTAATACCTATCAGAAGACACTAAAAAGATATTGAAAAGAGAAAGCTAGCCTAATGAATATCTGGAAAATGATGAAATACTTTGATATTGTGTAGACTGTATTCCCATTTATGGGGAAGACCACTCAAGGCCATCAACAAAACAAAAAAGGAATTCTGAATAAACTTCAAAAGTTTAAACACTTGAATTCATTACCACAAGGAATAGCTGAGGTGAGTACAACAGACATACGAGGGAAGCAGCAGTATGAGGCAGAACAGAATGGAGGGTCAGAGTTGGATGGAGGAGGTTCGACTGGAGTTTAGAGATTGGCTGACTGGTCGGCTGAATGGCCTGTTTCTACGCTGTCGAGCCTCTATAATTCTATGTAACCGAGACGCCATATTCTAATTCGTGTAGATGTAATAGATTTTGTGGTTAGATTTGTATAGGTGCGAAGTGGAATAATTCCTGTCCCCTGGCAACCCGTATCCTTCAGTCAACATATTCTGAAGAAGCGTCTAGGCCCGAAATGTCAGCCTTCCTGCTCCTCTGATGCTGCTAGGCCTGCTGTGTTCATCCAGCTCTACACCTGGTTATCTCAGATTCTCCAGCATCTGCAGTTCCTACTATCTCCTTCAGTCAACAGATTGTTTAACTTCAAACTCATTGGTCATGAGCCCTTGCTTTTTAGAAATCAGCTACCCTATTTGTCTACACAACAGCAACTACCATTCAAAAGATTTGTCATTAGCCACGAAGCCTTCAGGAAGAATGGAAATCATAGTAAGAGACATGTGGCGAAAGGACAGGATTAAATCCTCCTGAAATCCCATGCTGAACAGGATAGTATAGTAGTCTAAATCCATTTGGTAGCATAGAATTTAAATCACAGAGTATGAACATTAGGAAACTGCCCAAACGAGCTATGCACATTGAGATTGGTTAGGTCAGTTGGCTGGACAGCTGGTTTGTGATGTAGAGTGATGCCAGTGTAGGCTCAATTCACGCAAAGGCTATGGTTACCATGCAGGACTCTTTCTCAACTTCTCCCCCACTCCGAGTGGTGACCCTCAGGTTAAACCAGCAATTGTCTCTGTAATAAGACATCAACCTGATGATCTGGTAAGACCATGGCATCTTTATCTTTTATTCTACTTTCCTTTGAAAGTATTTCATATGCATACCTTTGCTGAGCGTTCCATGGTATATGCAAGACCCGAGTGGACAATATCTTTCTCAGAAGCACCCTATGGAAAAAGAGAAAAGACAGGAACATGTTAACCTAGAAAAGCAACAACAGTTGTGAATATATACATCAGTACCTTACTAGAACAAGCAATCTGGTAGAATGTATATTACTGTTGGAGAAAACAATTTTCATGTAAAATGGACAAACCCACCTTTTCACAAAGTCTCAGTATCTAGGCTTCCCCCACGATTTCTTTAAATGAGGCATCTGAAGGCAGACAAGAACACCTCCTGGGGAACAGTTGGCCTGAAAGATCAGTTACTTTCAGCCTTATGTCTAGAACTCAAAGTTTTAGATCACCTTAACTAATACGGTTCAAGTTCTGTTCCAGTCTTTTATTAGATTTTACTCAATTTAATTTGAAGCAACTTGCAACCAAATTGCTTTCATTCTAATTCTATTTAAGAATTTAAAAGAAGCTCCAGAGAACATTTTCTTACATCTGAGGGACACAAATCTGTTGCGGACAAACAAACTTTAGCTTTAATGGCTTGACATTGATTCCAAGATTAGGATTTGTTACTTATGGAAATTAGCTTAATTCCATCTTAATTTGGATTTTATTCATAAATTAATTATGGCTAAGGTTCTTAGTGGCAACTCAATATTTGCTTCCATTTGATCTTCAGTTGATGCTTTCCTACAAACTCAGACATTGAAGCCTTAATTATGCTGCAGATCAACAAACCTCTTAAGGAACATTGCAAATGATTATCAAATAGAATGACAGCACAGCTAGTCTACAAGATAGCAGTAAATTTCAGCTGTCAAAAGTTTAGTGAATGTGAAGAAAGCTACAGGAACGTCAAACAGGTTTGTACTTGGAACTTGTTAGGATTATAGAAATTCTACGTTCGTTTAATAAGGGAATAATTGACACAGTCATGAAAAAATGGTTTATTTTGTAAGTGAGCTGTTTGATTTAGAAGAGTTCTCAACAAAAACGGGCAAGTTCTACAGACTCCAGAACTCGAGGCACCGGAAGTGTACCTCTATTATGTCACTTTGAGGCTGGCTCCTTGCATGGTCAGTCAGAGCTGAGCCGAGCCAAGATACCATTTCACAAAAGTCCATGAGGTTTGCCATAGGAACAGACCACTCAGTTCCTCAATCCTGTTCCACTGACATAATGGATGCTCTGTATCTCAACCCATAGCTCTCAATATACTTGGCTCCCAAAAATCTGTCGATTTATTAACTAAACTAGCTACTGCTTTGAGTTCCATACTTAAATCACATTTTGTTAAAAGTATTTCCTAAATTATTTCCTGAAAGGCCCAATTTTAAGACTACTTCCCCACATTCTGGAGCTCTTACTAAAGAAAACAGTTTTTGACCTACTCTTTCAATTCCTTTCAGAATCCAAATGATCTCACTTCAAATCATTATGCCCATCTCTATTCAACACATGTTGAACATGTAAGATCTTCTAATTCAGCCCTTGGAATTGTAATACTATTCCTTGAGCATGAACTGCACTCCTTCCAGGACCAAGGGCATTATATTTCATCCATGAAATGCAATGCCTAGAACTGTACAGTACTCCCGAAGTAGTTAAACCAGAGCTTGGTACAACTGCAGCTTTTCAAAAGGAAAGAACTGCGGGCTGAGCAGTTGCCTCTCACACATTCAGGTCTGAATTTACTGGTTAGGCTAGAACAAAGTAACTTTCCTTTCTCAACAGTAACAGGAGACAACTTTAGGATAGATACAAAAAGGACAAAAGAATCTAAGTGATAATCAATTTTTTGCTTGCCACACTCTAAATTTGTAAACTATGGGTCTTGACCAAAATCTGACCCCTCCCCCATACTGCTCACCAACTGTCTCCTTGTTGATTGGATAATTCGTCTTTGAAGGCCTACTCAATTTCTTTTGCACACATCCAAATGTAATTCAGTGTAACTTGTATAAGAAAATCATTTTGAAAACAGAATTTAAGTGATGCATTCCTTCAACAGATCTGCTACAAGTTATGAAAAGCAAAAATGTGCAAACAGAATTCATGTGTATTTCTGGAATCTCCATTTTTAAGCAATACATAGGTCACTTCAAACTAATTATAAATGTTGGAGTAAAGACTAGATGTCTCAGCAGCTTATAATGAAAGGGATTTTAGGAATGCAGCCTCTCACTAACACTGCAAATATGTCACTTGCTAGGAAAGGGTTAAAGCAAATTTCAGAAATGAAAAATCAAGGAAATGTTGAGATCTCCAATCTACATCTTAGCATTCAAGATGGTGCCAGGCAAATGCAAGCCTTTACATAAGACATAGTAGTACAGGAGCAACTGGGAGACCAATTACTGGTCTCCCAGTTGCTCCTGTACTACTTGCAGAAGATTGTAATTTGGCCTTTACCTGAACACCTCCCTAACAGCACTACTTAGCAACTCATCACTGAAATAACTTTTTTAAAAAATACCAAATATAAAAGTGATTTGTGCACCTGGAGGGAACATTAGCCTTTGGTGACAGCACCAAAATATGTTAACAGCACTGACAATGAGAAGCAATACTATATGCCAATGTCAGCTTTGGCCAAAACTGAAAGTAGACCCTAGAAAAAAAATCATACATGAACTTGAAACATTAAGTTTGTTTCTCTCTCCACAGAATCAGGTCTGCTGAGTTTCTCCAATAATGTGTTTTTATTTGAAAAGTGGAGCAGTCTGTCACACATTATCATTAGGGAAAGAGGTTCAGGGACACTTCTACCATTACAGAACCCATTATTTATTTAGATATTGTAAGAACTGCAGATCCTAGAGTCAGAGATAACACAGTGTGGAGCTGGAGGAACACAGCTGGACAGGCAGCATCAGAGGAGCAGGAAAGTTAACGTTACAGGTTGGGACCCCTCTTCACAAATGGGGAGGGGAGGGGAGGGTAAGGGAGCTTAAAAAAAAAAAGGGGAGGGGGGGGGTGGGCTGGGCTGGGCAAGGTAGGTGGGATGCTGATAGGAGAGTGCAGGGAGGGAGTGGTGGGGATTGGTCAGTGAGGTGGGAGGGGCACCCTCCCCATTTCTGAAGAAGGGTCCCAACCTGAAACGTCAACTTTCCTGCTTCCTCTGATGCTGCCTGGCCTGCTGTGTTCCTCCATTATTTATTTAAATCTTTTTAACACATTAGAGTGGTACTGATTTCTCAAATTAGGCTAAAGGGCAATAGTGGAAGTTATCAAATGAGGAGCCTTTATTTCATAGCCATAGTCAACAATAAAACACCTGCCAATTTTCCAGCTCTTCAATTGAGAATGCACCATTGTGAAATGCTGACGTACAGCATGATTAGAATGGTTTTATTGGAAAGTCGGGATAGGCAGGGATGCAGTAAACATCCTGAGAATAGGGCATGTATCATTCAAAAGGTAGAGAGGTGGGCTTAACAGAAATCATCTCTCAAGGGCAGCTATATCACTTACATTCTGGGTGCTGGTTTTATGCATCAAATATTAAGTACACTTGTTGATCTTGCTCACTGAATCCACAAAGTGTTTACATTGTATTATTTCTGAATTCTACAGGATACGAAACCTAACAGAACGTAGAGACCAATTTGAGTGCACAGAATTAGCACGGCGGAGCACTTGCCAACATAACTCTGCATTTCAAGGCAACCAAGTGTACGGAAGTGCTTTGACATTTTTATGATGTTTGTCCAGATATGCACTGACTGCGAAGTTGGAACTTGCACAAAACTGTTCAAAACCGGTTTTATATCCACAGTGGAGATTTGCCAGTCTATCTAGTCTCCAGGCAACCAGTTCTATCTTTCATCAAGGAAACTGCTTTTATTCAAGGCTCTCAGCCTAAGTACTAGCCCAGAATAGATGGTGTATTACAATTTTGAATGCCACAACATGCAGGGACTGAGAAATGTCAGCTTATGATGGGGCGGCAGTGAACACAATGCAAAAAAGACAAGTCTGAATGACAATCTTGACCAATACTTGTTCAGATGATTCCCAGCAATGGGGTGCAGATCACGTTCAGTGGTACGTACACGATACCAACACAAGATCTGCTCCGACTAAAATTATCACCTATCCTGAATTGGGTTGAGGCAGACTGAGTGAATAGATGGGGAGAAGGTAAGATACTTACACTGACAGCTTAAGGTTCTTGGAGATTTGTAGCTCGGGTTGTGGGTATGGTTGTTGACTTACCTCGCCAAGCTGGCTGGTTATTGTCCAGATGTTTCGTCACCAAGCTAGGTATCATCATCAGTGCGGCCTCCAATGAAGCGATATTTTTCTACTCCGCTTAATATTTAAATGATCCAGTCTGTTGAGGTGTTTTGTGTCATTTCCAATTTATTTTTGCAAGGGTTTGTATATTGGGTCTAATTCCACACGTTTACGGATTGCAATATGGGTGGAGAACCAAGCCTCTAGGAATTCCCATGCGTGTCTATGATTGGCTTGAGATAGGACGGTCCTGGCAAAGTTCAGGTGTGTTGCAGCCCTTTTGAATAGTGCCCTAACATAGCTTTGTTTGTGGATGTTGGGGTGATTGCTGCGGAAAATTGAGGATTTGATCAGTACGGATTGCCTTCCTGTGTACTGTGGTTTGGAATTCCCTATTCAGCATTTGTTCTACCCTGACATCTAGAAACAGAGGTTGATTGTTGTTTTCCTCTTCCTTGCAAGAAGGAGGAAGATCACCTATACAGGGTCTTTGCTATCAATGGATACCCCACCAACTTCATCCACAGATGCCTACTAGATAGACAACACCAAGAGAATATGATACGACGTAATACATTGGCCACATTACCATACATCAAGAACATATCGGAACTGACAACGAGACTCCTACAACCACTAGGAATCAGGATAGCATACAAACCCACAGACACACTATAATAAACACTCAGACCAAAGACCCCATACCCACGACATGCAGGATCAACGTAGTGTACAAAATACCGTGCAAGGACTGCCAAATACATTACAATCGGCCAGACAGGAAGGAAACTAGCCATCAGGATTCACGAACACCAGCTAGCAGCAAAATGACACTACAAACTTGCCCTCGTTTCAGTGCACCCAGACAGAGGCCAATTTAACTGGGATGACGTCACCGTCCAAGCTCAAGCCAACCATAGACACGCATGGGAATTCCTAGAGGCCTGGCTCTCCACCCATAATGCAATCAATAAAAGTGTGGAATTAGACCCCAGACACAAACCCTTTCAAAAAAATTGGAAATGACAAAACACCTCAATAGACCAGATCATATAAATACTAGGCAGAGTAGAACAATGTCACTTCATCAGAGGCTGCACTGATGTTATCTAGCATGGTGACAAAACATCTTAACTGTAACCAGCCAGCAAGTCAACAACCTTACACTGACAGCAACCAGCCATACTTCAACTTTAAACTGTTGGTTGGTTTCAACCCTTTCCTGACAACTGTGAGCTGAGCCAGACTGTTTTGCAAACTTGGTACCATTACTTGTCCTCATATTGGGCTACTGTCCCCAAAGCATCATCACCAAAACCACCTATTTCCACCTTCTTAGCATCGCACAAGTCCATTACGACTTCAGTTCATCTTCTGTTGAAGCCACTGTCCATACAGTCATTAGCTTTATTACCAGTGGATCCTTGACCTGCCTCTCATCTTCCACTCTCCAAGATCCACAGCCTATGTCCCAACTCTCACCAAATTCCTTCCAGCCATCACCCATGCTTATGGAAATAGAAAAATGGAGAAACTCAGCAGACCTGGCAGTATCTGTGGACAAAGAAACAGAGTTAATGCTCCGAGTCTGATACAGTTCTGAAGAATTGTTAGACTCCTTTTCTTGGACAAGAAACACTGCAGATACCATAAACTACACAAGTAGTTACCACACCCTAGTTTATGTGGATTGTGCTGTTTCTTTAAATAGTGCATTCAGCTGTCCAAATTTGAAGGAAACACCCTGTTTTGAATGGACGTAGATTTAAAAATAGTGCCATTAGCACTTGTCAGCCTCCATTTCAAAATTTTCAGAGGAGATTAACTGCATTCCCAAGATTCAAGTGAACTGCCTCTGCCCTTTGTTTATTCTCTACATGATGCTCAGCGATAAAGCCAAAAAAAAGGGAATAAATACTAAACACAAATTGCTGATACAGCCATGTAAAAAATCAGTCAAAACAAAATGAGAAAACTGGGATCGATAATTCATGGGAGGAACCAGATGACTAAGGCATGGCTACATACATGATTGGATCACCAGATTCCTAATCAATAGGTTACCACACCCAGTTAAATGCCACTTTGCTCTTATAACAACTCAATAATGGTCTGTGCCAGACCATCTCACATCATTGAGGATCACTCCTAGGCAAATAGGAAAAGATTTTCCTTCAACTAATGCAACTTGCTACTGCAGAACTAAAGTTTTGAGTCCAGTGATTGTTCATCAGAACTGTTAGTAGCCAGGAAGTAGTATTTGTGCTGAAACTGAGATAATGCATTGCCAGGACAGAAGAAAAGCTGAATAAGACATAATAAGAGCCAACAGTGAGGGAATGTAACCCATATAACGTAATGTTCTGAGGAAGGGTCACCAGACCTGAAGCATTAATTCGGATTCCTCTTCACAGATGTTGCCAGATTCTGATTTACAGCATCCACAGTGCTTTTGGTTTCCATACAATGTAAGAATGGACCTAGGAGTGCGTGGGAATGTGTGACTGTGTTAAAAGCAACTCAAGTCATAACAGGACCAAATATAGGGTGGGTAAACGATATGGAAAGATGCAATCAGGCTCTAAAGTTAATGAACTCTATGTTGAGTCCTAGAGCTGCAGGGTCCCCAAGTATTAAGTCTGCTTCCTTCCCACAGGTGCTACCAACCTGAGTTTCTCCAGCAACTAGGTTTTTGTTTCAGATCTCCAGCATCTGCAGTTTTGTTTTATTTTCTTGTGCAATAACAATTTCAGAATGAGGTTAGACTCAGAGCAGCTGTGTTTGATTTAATTACTGGGGGTTTGGGGGAATTAAAAGGAATATTGCAATAAACTCACCGCTATTCTGGCTTGGAATTCTGCTGTTGGTACGACTGGTATAGTACCACCATGCTTGCCAAACTTCCTCTCCAAACTTTCCTGGACGGACACTGAGGAGGAAATGGAACAGGATTACTGGTTGGACAGTTTCAAAGTTCAATTAAGTAACTGGTGGAAAATTAACCCAAGATAGCAATTTCTCCCCTGATCCAACAAAACTTTTGTAAAGTGGACAAACAGGAGGCTGGAAAAACACAGCAGGCCAGGCAGCATCTGGAGGAAAGGAGCAGTTGATATTTCGGGTATTACCCTTCTTCAGGGCTGGATGTGGGGGTAGGGGGTGCTGCCGACAAAGGGAGGGGGAAAACACAGGTGGAGGTGGAATGGTGGGGATAGGTGGACAATGGTGGTAGGTATGACCTGGTTGGTCAGTGGGAGGGATGAATCCGGTTGGTGGATGGAAGGAAGGGGAGGGTCAGAAGGTGGAATGAAAGGGAGGAGGTGGGGCTGGAAGGGAAGCCAGGGGATGGGAGGGAAGGTTATTTGAAATTGGAGAACTCAAATGTTGAGTCTCCAGGCTGCAGGGTGCCCAGACGGAAGACAAAGGTGTTGTTTTTCAAATTTGCATGCCAAGTTGCTGCAACACCAGAGGCGGCAGAGGGGCAGGGAGTTGAAATGGGCAGTGACTGGGAGATTAGGTTGGCCATTACAGGCCAGGCAGAGATGCTCATCGAAACATTCACCTAGTCTATGTTTAGTCTCACCGATGTACAGAAGACTACATCGGGAGCTTTTGGAGCCAGTTTTGGAGGTGGACACAGAAACGTTAAGCAATTGGATTTGCAGAAAAGGCCCAGGCAGTGGTGTCAACGTGCATTGTGCTCTGCTGCATTCTAATGAATTAGTTTGTTGGCTCAATAGAACAAGGCATTTTCTGTTTAAAGGATTTCAAATGTGAATCTTCCAAGTTTTTCACTCATCTTAAAATGTTGTTTAGTCAATGAGGCATGTGCTAAATCTAAACACAGTATGTTTATATAGCACCTCCAATATAGTAAAACAGCCCAAGGTATTTCATGTGAGCAGAAACAGAAAAGACGACACTGAACCAAAGGCGTTAACAAAAACAGATGACCAAATGCTTATTCAAATAAATAAGATTTATACAGAGTTGACAGTTTAGGGAGGGGATACCAGAACTTCAAGCCTAGGTGTTTGCAGGCACAACTACCAAGTGAGAGTTGAAGGAAGTGGGGGAAATGCACAAGAGCCCAAGTTACATAGTTTAAGGAGGAGTATACAAGTGATTGAGGGAGTGAGGCCACCTGTGGCTTGCACAATGATTGTACTGTAAGACCATAAAAGAGAGTCGCAGAAGTAGGCCATTCAACCTATCCAGTCTGCTCTACCATTCAAGGAGATCATAGTTGATCTGATCATCCTTAACTCCATTTGCCTTCCCTTTTCACCCCAAGCCTGGATTCCCTTACTAATTAAAAATCCCAGCCTTGAACACACTTAACCAGCCTCAACAGTTGTGGTTTTAAAAAACTCCACAGACTATCTTCTCAGGAGAAATTCCTCCTCATCTGTCTTAAATGTGCGACCCCTTTTGAGATTATGCCCTCTGGTCCTAGACTCTCCCACAAGAGGAAACCACCTTTCTGCATTTATCCTGTCATGTCCCCCAAGAACCTGTATGTTTCAATAAGGCAGTCTTCCATTCTTCTAAATGGGAACGAATAGAATCCACTCAACCTCTCCTCAGTAGTCCTCCAGAGGATCGGAAGAAGGGCCTCCAGACCTGAAATGTTAACAGCTTTCTTTCTCCCTTTCCACAGATACTTCTTGACCAGCTGAGTTTCTCCAGCAATTTCTGTTTATGTTTCAATTATTAGTCAGTATGGTAACCTTCTCTGAATTGCCTCCAATTATTTACATCTCTCCTTAAAATATGCCAATATGCTGTGCACAGTACTGGAGGTGTGGTCTCAGTAGTGCCCTGTATAACTGAAGCAGTGTCACTACTGTATTCAATTCCCCTTGCAATAAGTGAAATATTCTATTAGCTTTCTTAATTACTCATTGTACCTGCTTAATAATTTGTGCATCATGTATGAGGACCCCAGGCTTATGCAATCTCTTAATTTCATTAATGTGCTTTTTATAAAATCCTTCCTGCCAAAAATCAGGATTTCACATTTTCCCACATACACTCCAATTGCCACATCTTTGCTCACTCAAACTATCAATAAGTTGGTTGTCACCTTGTGTCCTGTTTACACTTACTTTGCTGCCTATCTGAGTCATAAGCACATTCGCTAATCATACTTTCTGCCTTTTCATCGAGTCATTTATACAAGTTATAAAACAGTTGAGATCAAAGCACCGATCCTTGTGGTACACTACTATATTTTGTCGACCTGAAAAGTGACCAATTTACACCTACCAACTCTCTACTTCCTGTTAGCCAACCAATTTTCTATTGAAGCCAATTTGCTATTGCCCATCATCAGGAGCTTTTATTTCTGTCAAAAAGTTCCGATTTGGCACCTTATTGCATGCCTTCTGGAAATCTAAGTACAGTACTTCCACTGGTTCCCTTTAATATGTACTACCTCCTCAAAGAGCTCCAACAGGTTGGTCAAACATGGTTTTCCCCTGTGACAAATGTTCAGCTGTTTCCTGCTTTCTGAACCCCTCCTTTTGAGGAGGAGAGTTACATTCACCGTCTTCCAAAGTAACAGAGCTGTCCCAGAATCAAAGGAAGTTTGGAAGATTAAAATGAATGCATCAACTATTTCACTGGCTATTTCTTTTAAGACCCTCATGCACTTTTTTCCTTCCCCTCTGCCTTGTTTGTTGCAAACACAAGCTTCTTACATATTGCTAATCGTTCAAAATTGAAAACAGTCATTTGAAGAGTTAAGTCTCTCTCTCTCTCTTCACAGTTGCTGTCTGACTTGCGAATGTTTCCAACATTGTAATTATTTTGGATTTTTTTCTAATATTTGCTTATCTCAATTGCCCCAAGCTAAGACACACCTGAAAATTCTATTAATTATTTATGCAGTAGTCAAACATTACCTCGATTCCTCCCCAGCCTACCAAATTATACTTTATAATCCTGCCATCACAAGTTTTTGAAAGGAAGCTAGTGGTTCATTTAACAATACGTAGCTAATTATTTAAATGTTTGTATGCTTACTGCAACTGCTTAAATGAAGGTAATGTTTTGTTATTCAGTAAGTATGGTGTACGTGTGCGTGCGTGTGGTCCTGTGGTGTCAACCTCAGACTGCTCCTTCCTTTAATCACTGTCATTCTTAGAGCGTTTGGCTTTGCACAAATTTACCAGGCCTTAGGCTATCCAAAGCTGCATAAATAGCAAAAATCACAGCCTGCAGAGATTAACCATTTAGTCAGATTTCAGAAGGTAGGAAGTATTACCCTGAGATTAAGAGTTAGCAAATAGGTAAAATCCAAAGAAGTGAGGCCAGCCACATGATTCCTCAAAAGTATAAATTAGGTTACTGCAATGATGCTGAACAACTACCTCAAGGAATCTTGTGTCTGTGACTACTGGACTGGAACCTTTGAGTTTCAGCCATCATCTGCACCAGGTTAAAACTAAAAGGTCATGGGAGTTAGTACATAAAATTAACAACCCCTCAAATACTACTGAACACAAAATTACCCACTCCATTTATGACAGATTCAAGAACAGCTCCTAAAAGGTGAAAGATTCCACTTGCAGAAGCCTGTGACAACTGTGGGGAGGAGGATGATGATGGAAGATAAAAGAGACTGTTTAGATAAAGGATTTCTAATTAAGAACACCCACCTTTTCAATGGCATTTTACATGACCTAGATCAAGGCTCCAATATTGATCAGGTAAAAAGGTGAGGATTTAAAGGGGTCAAGCAATTGCTAGCATTCAGTTGGAACTCTACGGCAGCCATTACTGCCTCAAAGCTCACAATGCCAAAATGACGCTCAAAAAAGTACATTGGGGTAAAGTTCCACATGTGGTTGTACTATATTCCAGTATCTTAACCAAATAACCATTTGGTGAATATTGTTCCTTGAGGGTCTAAAATGGGTTTCATCCTGACTAAATGTCCATGCAACATTCCAGCAAGAATCAGGAACCAGCAATTACGAGTGGAACTGCTGGCTGATTCACACCCTACCCCCGTCCCCTCCCCCCTCACTAACTCTTTCTTGGCCGACAGATACCAATTGTAATGGCTTATATGCTGCCCGAGTGATAGCTCTGGGATCTCCACTGCATCATTTGATTCATTGTGCTGGTAATTATAAATCCAGCATGTAAAACTAGATGATCACTTGGTGATGTTCTCCATGGAGTGTTAACCTTTACTACTGTACTCCTACATCTTCATGAAAGCCTCATCATTACTTACTTAGCAGATGGTAGTTAGAGTCTCGCTCATATTTGAAAGTCAGACGGCCATAGCTAACATGGTTCAGATTTTTCAGCCACTCAAAATAGGAAACCGTGACACCGCCAGCATTCAGGTATAGATCCTGCAAACAAGGGTAAAAAAAGGGCGTTAGTCACCTGATTGCAGTGATCCAGTTAGTACAATTTGATGTCACATTGACCAAGTGAAATTACTCTTTGAGATCCCATTTTGAGCTGCGCCAATGTAGGGAAGGGGCAGGAGACTGTTTGATACATGCCCCAAAGTAAATAATCATGAAGCTTCACTTTCATATGTCCCTCATGCACTTCACAATAACAACTGTCAACCTCAGGAGGTCTCCACTGCTTGATCTCCTACTTGCAATTGTTACATCATAGGAGCACAAGGGAGGAATAGAAGATACAATGGGTAACCAGACTTAGATAATTTACAATGGTCACCTCAGTGAAGTAATATAATTTAGGAACACAAACAGAAGGTGCTAGAGACACTTAGCAGATCTGGCAACATCTGTGGCGAGAAAGCAGAGGTAATGGTGAGTCCTGTGATCCTTCTGAATTCAGGGTTCTGAAGTAGGGTCTGTCGATTTGACATGTTAATTTGACATGTTAATTCTCTTCACCAATATTGTCAGACCTGCAAGTTTCTCCAGCAACGTCTGTTTTGTGCATTTCAGATCTCTCCCATTCACAATTCTTTGTTTTATTTTAAGACAATTTAGGACCTTACTACCATTTCAATACTATTGTTCTTATTAGATACACACAAGAAGATTCTCCTATGTTTCAACGTTGCAATTGCCATAATGTGCATTTAAAAAGTCAACTTTCAAATACAAGACTATACATATTGCAGGATTACTTCCTCTTGGTTGGGGAAGCCAGCAGCAAGCGGTTATAAATACAACAGTTCCATGATGAGTTGGAGGAAAGTGATCACTGAAGCACGGGGCTGTAATTCCCTAGATCCTGTTCTACCATTCAATTAGATCATAATTGATTAATTTTTGGTTCTATAAACCCTTGATACTATTAAATATCAATATTAATTGAATTGAGCTGATGTTAATATTTTTTTCCTGTTCTGGAGCTAGCTGGGACAATTCCACATATGCATCACCTTACGCATACTTTTCAGCATAATCCTAAATTGACTTGGTTACAATGAAGCATAACCTTAAAGAGGTAATAGTTCTGGTCTTTCTTTAATCACTTTTGACCAAGCAAATCACCCCTTCCAGTCTTAAGGGAATAGTCTGCAATTTGCCTTCCTAGTTTAATCCTTTTCATCCTGGGATCCATCTGGTGAATAAGAGATTAGAAGAAACATCCTGAACATGGGGGCTGTTGGAGCTCAGAATAGCATCCTGTGACAAAACACAATCAGACCAGTAACAGTGGATTTTATAATGGAAACATAGATAAAAACGGCTGAAGTAAGGGAATGGAGCCAGAGAATGAGAATAACATTCATTTCCTCTAGCAAGAATGGAGAAATGGTAAGAATAGCCTCTTGAGGTTTACACCTTCATGGTAATATACATTATTACTCTGCAACAAGCTTAACACTTCCCATTTATGCATAACATGCAGTTTTTCTTATTTCATAAATAGCATTAAATGTAACTGGTCATGACAGGCTTGGCAAGCATCTAAATAAATGTTTTTTTATTTCATAAAAAGGCCTGTATTTAAACAAATTTTAAACATAGGAATGACTTATTCAGAGCAATTAGTGCTAATCAGTTCTTTCTGGCAGAATTGTTTCAGTAATGCCTTTGAAGGTATTCTTCAAGTTCAATAGTTATATTATTGACACATTTCTCCCAAGAGTAATCTATGTACCAAGCATGTAGGTGAGATAAAAGTGAAAAATACAGGATAGCAAGCTCAGATTAGTTTTGACTACCTTTTTATTGAATGATTCTTAGCAGCTCTCAAAGTTCACTGTAGTGTATTTGGTAAATATGGTTGTCTATTAGTTTAAGAATTGAGATGTCATGATGACACCATCAGCCATTTTGGCAGGAAATAGCTAAATCTGACCTTGCTGCCTACAGACTAAACATCTCCTTAATGAAGAAGTTCTGCTATTTAAACGCTTCGGCCTGGTACTTCTTGGAACATAACACTAATTGGGACAAGGACTTCTGGAACTCTACACTGGTATTAGGCACCATATGCTTCATATTTCAAAACCTGGAAAGAGGGTTAACATGTCACACCAATGAAGTCTGCAATTGCTTACGTAAAGAAGAATAAAGGCTTGTTGGACAAAAAGAGAGAAACTACTTTTCTTTGTGGCAATGTTCAGAACAAGGAGTCAATCTTAAAATTCAAGCGAGACTGTTACAAAAATAGTGGCAGTTGAGCTCTTTCTCCTTCAGAAAGTTGCCAAAGTAGGGAAACCAATTGAAATATTCAAAACACTTAAAAAGGACAAAAGCATCAAGAGTTATAGAATGAAGGGAGATGAAAGAAGTTCACACGCAGATCAGTCATGATCCACTTGACTGGTAGAGCAGGCTCAAGGGGTTGAACAACATGTACCTATGTAACCACACCATTTATTTAAGGTTTGAATCATGATCATTTCATGTAGCTTATTTTCTTGAACAAAAGTGATCAATTCTCTCAAAAAACACAGGAGGCCATTCAAGAAAGATCAAGTCAGGACCGAAACACAAATGTGGGTGAAAGTGATCTTGATTCGTACATCTCATTGCATCTGGAAGGTCACTTCTGATGAAGCCATTTAAAAAGCAACAGCCACTCAGACAGAAAGGGCACTATACATTTGAACATGAAATAGCAAACAATAACTCACTGGAATAACCATTATGTTCCTCTCCAGGAATATTCTGTCAGCTTCTGGAGTTGTTGGCCCATTAGCACCTTCAGCAATAATCTGAAATGCAACAGAGGTTGGCATTAATGTCAGGGTTATTACACACTTGAGTACTTTGTTCAAATCCCAACATGGCTTCATTCTTCCCACCTCTAAACTGCTTAATAATTACAACCCAGGGAGATTGTGCTCTTCCAATTCTAGCCTCGAGTGCATCTCCCATTTTCTACACCCCAATATGAGTGGCCATGCCTCCAGACGATGCGATAACATATTAAGACAGACTCTTTCTCACCTGTAATCTCCAGTGGTGAGAATACTGGGAATAAAAATACTGATCGGCACACTTCAAAATGATGGCTCCTCCCCCACAGCTAATTCTCTATTCACCACTGTCCAAGTTCAAGTTGAAATACAAAGGCTGCATCAAGTATCTTAAGCAATTGAGACTTCTGTTGCTTATTGCTGAGGGGGACAGTGGTATGGAGCAGAAAGATGAAAAATAAAATAATACACAAGGGGAAATGGATGGAGCATTACCGTAACATCTCAACTGACAGACAGTTCCTCTAATACTGCGGCATTCACTCACCCCTTCACTGGGGTGAAGTATAACTGAGGCTGATGCTCAGAAACATATTTCATTCAGTTGGGAAGTGAGAAAATACTGACACTTTACAAACCAAAAATGGTTACATTTGTAGTTCCCAAAAAAAAAAACCACACCAGCCAGTTTGCACACATTTCAGAAACAGCAACGACTGACCCAATAATCTCCATTTTGTTTCAGTGGTCGAGGGGGGAATGCCGACTAGTACCGGAGAGTTTGCAGTGCTTTGAATAGTACTGTGGAATGGGGAGGAGATAGGGGTCTCAATTTAACATTTCATTCAACTGAAGTCACCATTATCAATACAACATCCTCTCACTATTATACTGAAGCATCAAGTCTAAGTGGAAACTTGCACCCAGATGTCTGACTTGGATATGAATGGTACCAGCAGTCAAATGGATGCTTTAATGTCCAGACTGTAGCTGTCTTCTCCTCTTATGAATCAAACCCTTAAAGCAGGAGGTCCAGCTGTTTGTACCAGCTAGCCTTCAGCCTTGAACTAGCTGAATTAAGTGGACATTTACTTCACATGCAAATCTGCAGCATTGCAAACTGACCAAGTTTACATTTATGCATGATTATAAACCAACACCATTTTTGAAGTCCAAATTTTTTTGATGCCCTTGTTTTTCATAACTCATTGACATATTTGGCAAATAGGCTGGGAATCAGGGCACAAAATAATCAATTGGCAAATAAAAGAGAAGTCTTTTTGTTTCAGTGAGTTGTGATCTGGAATGCACTACCAGAGAGGGTGGCAATGATACTTGACTAGCAATTCAGAGGCCCAGACTAATTGTCTAGGACACATGTTTAAATTTCAGCCATTGAAATTTACATCCCATTAATAAATAAATAAATCTGGAATTGAAAGCTAGTCTCAGTAACGGTGACTGTGAAACTATTGTCGACTGTCATAAAAGCACATAATTCAAAATTTACTTTAAAGGAAATCTGCCATCCTTATCTAGTCTGGTCTACACAAGGCTCCAGACAAACAACAACGTGGATGACTCTTAATTCATCTCTGAAATGGCCTAGCAAGCCACTCAAGTCAAGGGCAATTAAGGATGGGAAACAAATGCTGACTTTGCAAATGAAACCCACTTCCCATGAAATAGAAAACAATTATTTAACAAGGAATATATATTCTCTGAATATATTCCCTGACCCACATTGGCTCTCAGCTGAACATTTCAATATTAAAGTGCTCACCCTTTTGTTCCAACCTGTCCACATTTTGTCCCTATGTGTAACCTCCACAACCTGATAAATCTGACATTTAGGCTCTTCCATTCCTGGCCTCTAGAGCAGTCCTGATTTTTAACATTTGCTTTCCATTAACAGCTGTGTTCAGCTACCAAGGTGGTAAGCTCTGCAACTGACACTCACTGCATCTTTATTTCTTTTCCAGTTCAAGACACTCCTTAAAACCTGCCATTGAGCAAGCGGACGTTACCTGTCCTATCATATGACTTAGTGTTAAATTTTGTTTGAAAACATTCTCATTGAGTATTACTGGACATTTAACTACATTACTGGTGCTATATAAATACATCTGTTGCGGTCCTCAAAGCTTGCTCATATCACAGGATGGTAAAGAGGGTGCTGCATAAATTTACATTCAATTCCAGTTCTGCTTTATCCAAGTAGGAACCAATTCTTTTTGAACATAGGAAAAAAAGCCAATTTCTACCCTGTTTTGTGCAAATTTCTGGGTCTCTCAGTAGGTCAAAGCTCCCATCTGAAATAGGAAGCATCAAAAACAATCAAAATAAAAGGTAGAGCAATGCAAGCTGGTGTTCCAGCTTATTTCCGCTCACCAAATTAACATTTTCATTGACAGTTATCTTCAAGAATGTGTCTAGCCTCTTCAGACTGGAAATTCTGAGACAGCTGCCTACATCATGTAAGAGTCTTGTTATAATTCTAGATCCGTAAGAAAAAGCAGCAGGGTTGCAGGGCCTTTAGCAGCTGTTTCAGTAGTGACCAATGTAACCTCACAGTTGGCAAGAATTAGCTTTGTTTCCATGACCTACAGTAGTAGGAGGCTGTAGCACAGTAATAGTGTCCTTACCTTTGAGCCAGGGGGCCAGGTTCAAGTTCCACCTGCTCCAGAAGTGTGTAATAATATATCTGAACAGTTTGATTGGAAAATCTGACCTACAGCAATGCTTTTCTAAATCAGGGACTGCTGTCCATTCTAGTGAAAGCCAGAAGTGAACTCAAATTTTTTTTGCTTTGTTCCAGTATTTAGCAGCACAGAAATGGATTCTCTGTTGGTGGTAGCAGGTAGATTTCATGCCTTCACTTTTGCAAATCTACAATAAAGAAAATTTGGGCCAAGCTACAAATAGATTCTACTACTGACATAGCAGCAATGCTTATTGCAATGTGCTCAAGAGTAGTGAAAAAGGCAACTTGTCACACTACTTTAGACATTTCCAGACCCAAGTTGCAAGACTAAGCTGAGTCTTAGCTTTCCAATGATCCTGTACACATCCAGGCAGGTTCTAGTAGTGTACTCAGGATAATGAACATCGAATTATTTTTCAGAATACTTGAAGTATTGCATCTATTTTGTGCAGAACAGACTTTCATGCTTAAGAAACAGTAAGGAGAAGATCACAATATTCAGGCTCACTTTGGGCTTTAGCTGCAAAACTAATCTATTGACCAAGACAAACAAGTAAAAATTGATCTACAAATTTTTAATTTGCATCTGTGGACACTCCCATTATGAAATAAAAAAAATAGTGACTGCCTTTATAAACATATTACATTGTAAATGTATCCTCTGGTCAGCAGTGCAACTGAAGTCTTTCAATTTTGCAGCTCCTTAGAGCATCATATATGGAGCTTCCATTCTACAACTTGACATCCCATGTTATTGCAAGTGTTACTATTTAATGAACAATGCTGTAGTGCATTAGCAGGTACAATTCATTCACTTATTGTAAATATAAAGACTATGCTATCAAGCACAATAAATGCTTTACAAGCTCTGCAATATCATTAAAAAAGCTTGGCTGTTCACATTTCCCATTTTGAACTTCCTTGTTCACTTTTACAATGGAAATCAAACGTTAACACTTATTGTACCCAGGCCCCAGCCAACACCCAGCATCATCATCTCTATTCTACATGTGGACATAGGAAATATTTGAAAAACATTCTGTTGAAAGATTACATAACAATACTGTAGGAACATAAATTGCAGAAAAAGTAGGCTGTACCAGAGTCTGTTACGTCCTTCAAAAAGTCATGGCTGATCAGATCTGGACCTGAACTCTACTGGACTGATATTCTCACAGGGAAATTTGCTAGTGCTGTTGAGGTTAGTTTAAACTAGTTCGTCAGAGGGATGGGAACTTGAGGCGTAACCCAAATTGGAAGGCCGTTAGCTGGTAATGGGAAGCAGAAAAACTCCAAGGGAGACTAGATGATAGGAGAAACAAAGCTGAGCATCTTGTAGGCCTTGAATGCGGAATTAAGACAAAATTAAGGACACGCTATCTGAACGCGCACAGCATGCACAACAAGGTAGATGATCTAAATGCACAAATTAGCAGTAAATGGTTATGATATCATTGCCACCACAGAAGTACGGCTGCAATGGTGACCAGGATGGGAACGGAATATTCAAGGGTATTTGACGGTTAGGAAGGACAGACAAAAAGGAAAATGGAGGTGAAGCTACACTGATGAGCTGAGATCAGTACATTTGGTATGAAATTCTCTTCTGACTAAAGAACAATGTGTGGAACCTGTTTGGGTGTATCTAAGGAACAGTATGGGGCAGCTGACACTGGTTTCTGTTATTTATAGGCCAAATAGTAATGGCAGTGTGGGGCACGGTAATAAATCACAAGATGACAGAACGTTGTGGCATGTGCACCATAGTAATCAATAGACTGATTATGCCAAAGGAGCACTAAAGCTGTGGAGGACAAGTTTCTAGAATGCCTTGGGGATGGTTTTCTAGGGCAGTATGTTCAGTCAACTAGGAACAGGCTTAGATCCAGTACAACGTAATGAAAAAGGGCTAATTAATAACATTGTTGTAAAAGAACCTTTACAAATGGGGTAGGTACAGACATTTAAGAGGGCATTGGATGATTATTTGTACAGAAATATAGTGTGCAAGAGTATGGGGTGTTGGGGTGTAGGGGAAAGAGAAGCAGTAGATTGGCATGAGATATTGACAATTGTTTGGTGCAGGCAGATTGACCAAATAGCATCTCCTTTGCACTATAACAATTCTATATATGATAGGAATACATTTTTTGAAACTGAGGTAATTTAAAGTTCTGAAACGTGTTAAATCTGAATAAAGGAAAATGAAGAAAGTATGAAGCACCTGTTGGCCGAGTTGGACAGGGAAAATATATCAAAAGGCACGATTGTATCTAGTTCTTTAATGACCGTCTATTACTTACTATATGTCCTACAGCAACTATTAGGGTCAGTGAAGCCAAATGCAAAAGTATTTGTTCAAAGTCTACTTCCTAGTTTCCCATCATAAATTCTTCCATCCTGGTACCTTTTAACCTAGCTGGATATTTAACATTATAATTAGCTTTTAAACTGATGGTTATTCCTGTTTATCATTCTTCGGGAGGCACCAGCAAACTGATTTAATGTCAACTTTGAATTTCCAAACCTTCTAATTTGCCCAAACAATTTAATAATCTCAAACACAGTTGCCGGGGATTCATGGGTTTGAAATATTGCTGTTATCTTAAAATCTGCCAGCCAGTCATGAGAACAAATCTCAGTATATTCTTGTTTGAACTGTATTGCTTAGGTGCTTCTTTAATGCTTAGAGATACAAACAGTTCTGATATTTGTATAAAGTTGATTTTGAATGCAGCAGGCTTTTAATCTCTATTAACAGAGGGAGTACATTATTGAACTATACACAACCCCATCTGTAGGAGACGACTCTATTTTCATCACTGATCGAGGGGACAATGGTTCTGCTTTCTCAGTGCATTGTGGGACCCAATTACAAATGGTGCACCCCAAGTTGTGGATGAGAGAGACAGGGTGCTTTAATTGGGCTGGCTAAAAGGCATATTTTGTCTTCACCTATGCAAAAATCTGGGACACAGAACTCCTGCTTACCTTTGCTTTGACTTTTTGTGCATTGCTCTTGGTCAGCTGTTTCTCACCAGCTGCAGGGATGAGAATGTCACACTCTGCCTCCAGGATGTTGTCATCATATGGCTTCGCTTTAGGGAATCCAACAATTGTTCCCTGTGCCTATATTCAGAAAGCAACGATATCACAAGAACTCAATTATTAAAACATTGCAGCTTGATAGGCAATTTTGGTATGCAGGTTAAAAATCATAAGTTTATATTAAAAAACAAAGGGAACTGAAGATGTTTTAAGCTGTAAACAGGAGAGCTTCAGCAGCTCAGTCATCTGAGCCTCAGATGAGAATAATTTCCAGTTACCATGTTGTAGCATAAAAGGCTGACAAATCTACAGGTCAGAATCAGTTTGTTGTTCACAGCAGCAAATCTCCAGAAGTTCTCCTCATTTATCTAATGAGCTATATAAAAATAGCAACTGTTTTCAGCAAAATGAAGTTTTTTTTTGTTCACAGCATACTCAAAAACATTTTATTTATCAAAACTAATCCAATCCAGAGCGGTCTTGAGTACAAAAGAACCAGTAGCTATTTATAGAAATAAAATCAGATAGGTGGATGATACGAAGACTGGATTGAGGGAGGCTCAAGACAAGCCAAAGCAGCAAAAATACACCAACTGCCCCAAGGCTATAGTGACAAAATTTAAATAGACACCTGACAACTGTCAGTGGCAGTGAGTGGAAAACGAACATTTGAAAATTACTAGACTTGGCCCAGGAGGGAGCAAAAGTTCAACACTGTACACTAGTGAGGTTTAACATTCTCATACCAGTTTGTAATCCTCTAGCTCCTTGGGATCAATTCCATCATCATTCCAAATTGAGCCATCCAATTCACCAACACCAACACACTTGGCTCCGTAACGGTGCAGGTACCTCATGGAGTGCATGCCTACATTACCAAATCCCTGGGGGATTCAAAAGAAACAAAAAAAAAGGTAGTTCATTTATTGCCAGCAATGACCACTTTCTACAAATATTGGTGCACTCATTTTCAGGGCTTTCAGGAAATATTTAATCATCAAAATTCTTCCCCTCTGTAGTTTCCTATCACTGATGCTGGGGAATACTGTCAGGACACCAATTGTTCCTCTAGTACCTCATTTTAATAAATATGCATCTTATCCAAGTCTTAGCAGCAATTTCCAATGAATACCAAGTATCCAACGACCCACAAGGCAAAATGCATACTACAGAAATTTATGATTATTTTGCTAAAGAGAACTTTTTACCCAAGTAAAATGTTTAAATTTGTCACGTGACCCGCAAGTCCTACTGTCCAACTGGACTGATCTAGAATTCACCACCACTAAACCATCTTCAGGTTCATAAGATAACCCTTCCATATAACTTGTCATTCCAAGTCTTAACTACATTGTTCAAACGATTAGAGATCAGAATTATGTAGTCATACATTGTAATATAGTGAGCCAATGCATAATGCAAAAAGCTAGGTTCTACCTCTGGGTCGCATCATTTATCTACTGTGTCATGAAGGCTCAAATCTGGATAACAAAGGGATGCAGGTTTGGGTGATAGCACCTGGGCAGAACACCGAATTTGAACTCCCTCAAAACATAGCAGAATAAAGTGAATTACAACTTTACCAGCTTTTGGCTTTTACATCCTCTATAAAAATAATGTTAAAAAGCAAATCCAGTATTCGGGACATTAAACATTGGACAGAGCAGACAGAAGAAAAAGTAAAGCCAGTTCATTGTTCATTATCAACCACAAACCTGAATAACGAAAGTTTTATCTCCAAAGCCTGGAGTCATTCCCAGAACACTCATGTAGGATGCTTCGTTGATGAAGTTCTCTATCCCATGGAAGACACCACGTCCTGTAGCAGAAATACGGCCATGGATACCACCTTGGCTGATAGGCTTACCGGTCACACAGGCATGAGCATTTATATCCTACAACAATAATAATTTTTATATAAAAATATATACACATTTATAAGCAAATAACTTGGTGAACAATTATACAGGCAGATAGGGGACCAGCCCTCCTACTGCTGCTCACTAAGATCAAAACATCAAAATCAGACAGTGATCTATTTTACTAAGTTTCCTCATACAGGAAAATTAGAGGGGCTTGAACCTCATGATAAGCCTAAACCAAAACAATTCTACTGAAACAAAAATAGCTGACATGTGTTTGACAGGACTGTGCCAGGTTTGATCCTTGTTGCATGTGGTTGATACATGGCTAATTGCTGCAATTGGCTTCAGCAATCTTGGTCTTCAGTAAGTGAAGGAAACTAGGACGAGCGAGAGCGTGAGAGAGCTTAACCAGACAGACAGTCACCACACCTCCGCTGAGGGGAGAGGTTTGAAGCAGAGTCCTTCATGGTAACCTCATTTGGTGCAGGAATCGCCATCCAGTTGTCCAGCCAACTGAATGAACTGAACCCCCAATTCAAAAAAATTGTTCATATCGTGTACACCTTTTTCAGCCAATTATACAAATTCTTTCAAAATACAAAAACAAAAACAAACACAATTGCAAAAGTAATTAATGTAAAAAGATATTAACTCTTATTAAAATGTGATTTATGCCTAATCTACACCGAGCTGCCCTAGTTCACCACCTCTTAACACTGTGCCACAAACCAGACGTTCCTGCAATTTTCTCCTTGACCATTTATATACAATCTGCAAATGCAGTAGAAGCACACTTACGGTGGGATCTGAACTCACTCAGCATTCAACAGGCAAGTGGATAGGAGCAAGGAATTGATTTAGATTTAAGTCAGCAAGGTACAGGAAGGAATAATTCTCAATCATACCTAATCCAGGAAAATCACTCCAGCTCCCAAGGGCCACACTCTTGCCTATCCTGAAAGTCTCACCATCCCAGCCCATTTGCCAGGACAAACCTTCCAGTTGCTAGGTTATTAGCAGCAGCAGTACCTGCAGAGTGTGGCTGAGTTGGGATTCAGTCCACACTCCATCCCTTGCATTTTAGTACTGGTTGTTTGCAAACAAGACAGAAGGATCTCTAAAATAAAGCTGATAGTCCATACTGCCCACAGAACCAACACTTGTATTCCATTTGGCCACTGCTGGGAACTGACAGGTCAGGAAATTGGAGGAAATCTACTGGATGTTGCATTTGTACCACAAGGTACTGCATATTAGTGTCTGAAAGTGTCCTTCACCAATAAATTTTGCAGATGTTATTTTACTTGCTTACATGATTAGAATTATTTGTAATGTACACTTGTCTGCCATCTCTTGGTAACCGGATGCTATTACACAGATACTCTTACCACTTAAACCGATGCTTCCCAAAACCTCTCCCACTGATCCGGTTTTGAGGCTGAAAAGTTGACCCCCCATAGGTGAGGATGGAATCCCACAAGACTTGCTCTGCAGAACTTGCCGTGCCCCTGACCAAGCTATTCCAGAATATGTACCACATTGGCATCTACCAATGAATAATCAATTCAGTGAAAATTATCCAAGTATATCCTGTACACGAAAAAAAATGACACTTCCAGCCCAGCCAGTTACTGCCCTAGTCTACTCTTGATCACCAGTAAAGTGATAGAAGATGCCATCAAGCAGTACTTGCTTAGCAATAAGCACACCACTGACAGAGTTTGGGTTCCACTATGGCCACATAACTCCTGAGCTTATTTCAGCCTTGCCCAAACATGGACAAAACAGCAGAATTTCAGAGGTGAGGTGACAAGAACTGCCCTTGACATCAAAGCCACATTTGAAGAGTGTGTCATTAAAGAGCTCCAGCAAAATTAGAATGAATGGGAACCAGGGAGAAAACTCAACTAGCACAAAGAAATGCAGCAGCTCCTCAGGGCGTGTTCTTGGCCTAACCATCTTCAGCTGCTTCATTAATTCCCTCCAACAAAAAATCACAAGTGAACATGTTCACTGATAGCAGCACAATGTTCAGCACCATTCAAACTCTTCTGATACTGGAGCAGTTCATGACTGAACGCAACAGGATCTGGACAATATCCAGGTTCAGGTTGACAAGTAGGAAGTAACATTCGCGCTAGACAAGGACCAGGCAATATCCACTTCTATTTCCAACAGGAGAGAATCTATCCATCGCTCCTTGACAAAAAACTTTTGTACAGTTACACTGCGCTTAGGTCACAGTTGGAGTACAGTATGCAGTTCTGGTCACTGCACTATAGGATGTGATTGCACTGGAGGGGGTGCAGAGTAGATTCACTAGGATGTTGCCTGGGATGGAGCAGCTTAACAATGCAGACAGGTTGGATATACTAAGGATTTCTTTAGAGCAGAGGCAGCTGAGATGGGACCTGATTGAAGTGTAGAAGATTAGGAGGACATAGCAATCTGGTTAGAAAGTAGCTAACCCCTCCCCCACCTGGGGCAGAGAGTCAATAACAAGTGGACATAATTTTCAGGTGAAAGGCGAATGCTTAGAATGGATTTGAGGAAAGTTCTTTTCCTCCAGAGGATGGTGGGAATTTAGAATGCACTGCTTCGGACAGTAGTGGAGGCAGAAAACCTCAGAACTTTAACAAGTATTTGGATGAGCATTTGAAATATCAGAACATTCAAGGCAGTGGGCCAAAACTGCTGTAGAGTGGAACAGTGTAGATTTAGAGGGTTTTTCTATGTGCAGGTTCCATGGGCTGAAGGGTCTCTTCTGTTCTGTATGATTCTATGACATTCAATGTTATCTCCATCACTGAATCCACACTATCATCTTGGGGGTTTAGCATTGACCAGAAACTGAACTGGATGAGCCATATCAATACTGCGGCTACAAAAGCATGCCAAAGGCCAAGAATCTTGCAACAGGGAACTCTGCAAAACTGTCCACCATCTACAAGACAAGTCAGAAGTGTAACAAAATACTCGCAATTTACTAGGATAAGTGCAGCTCCAGCCTGCTTCATTGGCACCATATTCACAAATATTTATGCCCACCACCACCAAAGCTCAGCAGCAGTGTGCTTCATCTACAAAATGCACTGCAGAAACTCACCAAGGCTCCTTAGAGAGCACTTTCCAAACCAACAAGCACTACCACCTAGAAGAACAAGTGCAGCAGAAATATGGGAACACCATCACCTGCGAAGTCCCTTCCAAGACAGACAACATCCTGACTTGGAAATACATCTGTTCCTTCCGTGCCATCAGGTCAAAATCCTGGAATTTCTTCCTTAATGGCATTATGGGTTTACCTACACCACATGAACTGCAGTGGTTCAAGAAGGCAGCTCATCACTACCTTCTCAAGGGGAGGTAGAGATGGGGAATACACAAGGTTCTTGAATAGATTTGTAGCTCAGGTTGTGGATGCTATGGTTGGTTCACTCGCCAAGCTGGTTCATTAGTTCGCAGAGGTTTCATTACCCTGCTGGGTGACATGATCAGTGCAGCCTCCAATGAAGTGCTGTTGTATTTTCCAGCCTGGTTTTTAAACTCTGGGATCTGTTGGAATTAGTTACCTCATTTCCAGTTTTTCTTTGCAGTGGTGCATATATAGGGTATAATTCTACATGTTTATTGATGGCATTCTTGGTAGAGAACCAAGCCTGTAGAAATTCCCGTGCTTGTCTTGATTAGTAGTATTTAGTAGTATTCTTCTTTGTTTTTTTTCCCCCCCAAGCACCTCTACCAAGTATTTAAGGAGAACGGGTACCTGAACAGCTGGGTCCGATGATGCCCATCACAAACAGCAGCAGGAAGATACAGTATGCGCTGACACACTCGTCACGTTACCATACATCAAGAACATATCCGAACTGACAAGACTCCTACGAACATTGGACATTTGAGTAGCACACAAACCTACGTCAACCCTACACCAACTGCTAACTCGAACCAAAGACCCCATACCCACTATGGACAGAATCAACATGATATACAAGATCCCATGCAAAGACTGCGACAAACATTACACTGGACAGACAGGAAGGAAACTGGCCACAAGAATACACGAACACCAACTAGCAACAAAAAGACATGACCAGTACATACTCGTCTCCATTCACACTGAAAAGGAGAACCACCAGTAAGATTGGGACAACATCAGGATCCTAGGACAGGCCAAACAGAGACAAGCACAGGAATTTCTGGAGGCTTGGTTCTCAAAGGAGGCCATCAATAAACACATAGAATGATACCCTAGATATACACATACCACTGCGAAGAACCAGAAATGAGGTAACCAATTCCAACGGACCCCAGAGTTTAAATACCAGGTGGGAAAACACAACAGCGTTTCATCAGAGGCTGTACTGATGACGTTACCTGGCAGGGCCTTTGTGGGCAAGGACGAGAGCTCGTGAGAGAGTGAGAGAAAGAACAGACAGACATTCTACGTGCCATCATACCTCCCTTCATGGCAGCAATTGCCTTGGAGCTCATGTGTATTTAGGATGCCAACTCTACAACTTGGGAAATCTTGACTTAAGCACTCAAGCTAGCATGAGCAGCTGCACATATCAGAAACAGTGCTCAGCATCTGGAATTACTATAGGAGTCAATTAAGAGAGATACAAGTTACAACAATGGGCAGTTCAATAAGTACTTGCCTTGCAGTTGCCCATTACTGACTTCAGCCAAAAGTCAAGTTTTCAAGCAGTTTCAATTAGTAACAACAAGCAGAAGTTTCTGAAAAAGCTCAAGTCTGGCAGCATCTGTGAAGAAGAAAAAAATCAGAGTTAACGTTAACTCTGATTTTTTCTTCATAAGCGGCCTGACCTGCTCAGCTTTTCCAGCCATTTGTTTTTGTTCCTGATTTACAGCATCCAGTTCTTTTGTTTTTCAGTTTCAACTGGTTTCTTAATTGTACTTTGTAGGAAAAATTGTGATGTAATGAATTTTGCCATACTGATCAGCAAATTCTGCAGCAATCTGTTTATGAGGATGTGACACTCCTTGTTTGCAGATTACCAAAGGTT